CCTTAGGAGGCTGACGATAACAACCCAAGCAGAGTTCCTGTGGTTCCCAAACAGAGAGAACCAGAGTTCTGCACACAGGAGGGTTGAGGTAAGGTCACACAAGGCTTGTCTGCCACAAAAAATGAAACCTGACACTCCTCAATATTGCCTGAAAAAAAAAAGAAGACATCTCATGCGTCAGATCAGCGGAATCGCAAATCACAAACCCGAAGCTGAAAGATAGGTTTCCAGTCGGCAGGGGAAAGAAATACACCATGAAGCAAACACCAGAGTTACCACTTGCGATTCACATGTGGTCTGAAATTCTGGTGTAATGTGGGCCTGAGCCTGAAAATGGCAACTTGTTGTACTGGTTCTTTGAGAATTAAATTAAGGATCATATCTTAATCACCAGTTCCCTTCAATAACTCAGTGCTCATTTTGACCTCAGTGCACACACTATCTAAATAAGAAACTACAACATGCCTATAGTTTCGCATCATGGACAACATTAATGTGGAATTAATGTGTCCTCCTGGTTTCCTAATTCTCATCAAAACATGTCCCTGGTACGCATCGAGACAACAGGAATCTCTTCCAAAACAATGTGATGTGTAGGACAAAACCTGTAACTTGTGAATGTGGCAACAACAGGGTGACCACCACTGAAATGCGTTATGACAGGACAGGATTTAACTCTTCAGATAACAGTGGATGAAATTAACGTGTCAATTAAGAACTACAGCTTTGATGAGATTAATAATGGTGCTTAATGTGCAACCACAGGTACCGATGATCTGTTCACTGTTCCTGCCATCTTAAGGATAAGAAGAAGCAGACCACAGTGAAATCAAGTATTTTTATACATGATTTATATATTTTTTTCTGCCTAGTGATTAAACAATATTTCTAAATTGGGATGGATGTTTGCTCGGTATGCCTTCTGGCACGTAGGGGCTGCAACATCCTGATGCTGTTTCCGTAACATTAGGTTTTTACGGGACAGGGTACTTAGCCTTGTGCCCACCATGGAGCACCCAACATGGGACATGAACCCCCTACCCTGAGATTATGAGTCTCTTGATTTAAAGAACAGTTTTTTTCCAGATCCTATGCGGACAACACAATCCGGAATAGTGTTGTCTGCATAGCGCCTGGAAAGAACTGTTCGTTACAGAATAGTGAGCCAAATTAAAATGAATCCCGCTTCGTGAGAGCCCGGGTCCTGCTGCGTCTGGCTCCGTTATGATTTTAACCTTCCGTTCCTGATCCCCCCCAGTTCCCGTGTTTTAAACCCCCGGATGGATCGCCTGGCTATGGACTCTCGCTTCTGTCTTGGATTACCCGTTTGGACTTTTACATGGATTATTCACCCCGGAATCACTACCCCTGGACACCTGCACCCCTTGGACACGCCCCCCTGTCTCCATATCCTCTCCTGCATGGCTTTTTCCCCAGTGTTTCCTCACTAACCCGGATCGTGTCGTCTGCATAGGGCCCGGAAAGAGCTGTTCGTGACACTTGATCTGCCAACAGAGCTAGCCAGGGCGCATTTCTAAATTGAGCACAGGCATAATGCTCAATTCATGTCATTCCTTTTCAGGGCATCCATGACTTGAAGGGTTCCAGGGATGTTTGTAGAGGTGTGAAGATTGTATGGCCACCCTAAACAATTAGCTCTCTTTTCCCCAAAGGAGAAGAAGAAAGCAACTGCAACGTTAACTTCACTAATACAAACGGAGTATGTCAAAGGCATTAAAAACACAATGATGAAAAGCAGCCTGTGAAGTGAACTCCTTTTCCTGGACAGTAAGGTGTGACTATTGCTCTGCCGCTCTTCTGAGTGGGGAAGGGGAAGAAATGAGGGCCACTTGTACATATTTTTTCTCGTCAGACCTTTCCACACGTTTTTAAAGATCAGATTCCGAAGTGCACAATTAGGTCGCAAGGTCCAACTTGGGGGGAATATGCACTTCGTTATCTGTCACATGTGGCTTCACGCCTAATGTCAAGTTTCTGGTCTCATTAGCAAATCTAAAAGTCAAATGAAGCACCTAGTGACTCATTAGAACTTTTAATAAGTTTTTTTTTTCTAGCAACCTGCTGACACAGGCAAGAACGTGATGCAGAAAATAAAGGGTAAAGCAATGAAACTACTCGGTTTCGGAATATGAAACTCACAACTTCTTAAATCAGATATTGGCAGTTTTCATCCGTGGTTCACTGTACGTATTTGCAGCTCTGATCAGCAGGGAAAATCGGATATGCTGACTGTCTCTGAAGGGCAAGCGATAATTCCATTGCACACAGCTTTTTTTTTTTGCAGGGAAAATAAAAAGTAACGCACGAAAACTGAACTGTACAAATACACACCAAGTCACTCCAAGAAAACTAAGAATATACTCCCTTATCAAAAATCTAGGAATAAATAGATAAGAACAGTTTAACTCACAGTTAAAAAACATATCATTCTTATACAGTATACAGTTCATAATTGCTGGACTGAGGAAATAATGAGCTGGATGTTGAATCAATAAGATAGGGAGAAATGGTGTGGTCAGGTTTGCATTGTGGGGTCAAATGACTAAAACCCACGCAAAGTACAATTACGATGAGATGAAACAACAAGTATAAGGCATACTTAATATTTTAGTGTTTGGCATTAACTCGCCTGGCAGTTTTGATGCCCTAGCCTTAATGTCCAGTCTGCCAAAACCCTCCTCACCTGTGAGGAATGAACTGGGGAGGCAGTTGCAAGGATGAAGATGGGGAGAAGGGAGGAGTGACAGAAAGGGAGCTCAGCAGGCGAATATTTATACAGTAAGTCAGAAAGCAGAAGTGCGGGATTACAGTCTGACCACCTCCCAAGCTTCAGCTTCACAGCTCCCTGTAGGACACTGCTGCAGTACCCTTCATTAAGGTACTTCACGCAGATTGCTCTGCTGCCCAACTGTACAAATAAAGAGAAAATGTAAGTTCCTTTGGATAAAAGTGTCAGACAAATAAACAAATGAATAAAAATATTAATAATAATAAAGATCCAAGAATAAGGCAAGGAGAGAACGTCGCATTCCCAAGCAGATACTTACATTAATGACATGATCCTCAATCCTTCTTCAATGCATCTCTTCATGAAAGAAATAATTTTCCTGATGAAGCCTCCAGGTGTTGATGGTCTTAACAACAGGGATGATGGTGGGTTCTTGAGAGGTAAGGCTTGACTGAGCTGCTCTCTAGTGGGTGAAAGCGGTACTGCTGATTTCCCAGTTAATTATCCAGGGAATTGAGATGGGCGACAGGGAAACTTGTGATCATGTTAGCCCTCTTGTTTTCAATTCAGGTCCATCTGCGCCACATCATTACACCTGAGCAGTTATTTGGGAATTGAGGCATCACTTTAAGTCTTTCTTCTCAGGTTTAAAGCAGGTCATGATTGACAGACCATAAAAAAAATAACTGAACAATTTACTTCAAGGACCAGAAAGATTTAATCTCGTCAAATGGTTATTTAGACATTAAGGCTGACACTTCTGATAAATTGGTAATTTAATTAATCTTTGCATTTTCCACTGCAATAGGGTGTCTACAATACTGCTCTATACAGCTCTGTATTTGCACAACCTGTACAGGTTTGCTGTTGTTTTTGTATTTGCTACCAAAGTTTTTTTTTGTGCATTTTTATCATTTTAATTATTTTTTATTTCACTTGCATGTAGTCATATCCTGCTGTACCTACAACATTGCACTGGGGCAGTTTTAAACAGTACTGCAGGCCCCAGGTAAATGAAAATGTTCAAACAGGTTTGGAGCCTGGGTGGTATTTGGGTCTCAGGAGTTGCACGGGTCAGAACTTCTCCTGGAAGAGTACCAGAGCTAGCCAGTATTGTAGAGGGACAGAGATGCCGAGTCAGAACCCGTGACCCGTGTTCCCCGCCTAGGGCTTCACCGTCACGAGGCTGTTGCCCAAGATGAGAGAGTCAAGGTGAGAGACGTAAGAGTAGCCGGGATGCCGGCAGAGTGTGATTAACATGTCTTGTGCAAGACTAAACAAACTCAGGTCATGCAGTTGTGATAAAAGGACATACAGTACTAATGGACAGGTTGACCTCACCATGGTGTTACACACTTAGAATCACAAAGATTGATTAGTTTTACAGAATTGTTTTGAAGAAGGGTGTAGAGGATGGAAAAAGTGACACACAGTTATGAAATAAGGACATTTTCCAGATAAAATCCAATACACAATGTGCATCTTCCTGTAGTACTCTGAATTCACACACTTTCAGGAAGGGTTTATAATCTGCGAACAGCACCAGTCACTTTCTAGTGTTACTATGAATGGGTGTTTTGAAGTGATCACTGAATCACAGATCACAGAACCTATACAAAATATTGCCCCACATGGCACAGTGGCTGTTCTTAACAAAGGTTATCCCTGTCTTTCAGTTATTACCAAACTGCCACATGCAACAGATGTCTGCTTCTTTGCAACGAGTAAATTTAGATTGACAGACACAGCAGATCCTACAAGTGCATCCAATTGAAGAAGGTGTTCAGGCGAAGAGAACACGTTTTCCCACTTTTTCAGCACAAAAAATAAATTTGCAAAACTTGTTCTCATGGAAAGAAGTGTGGTTTGCTGGTGCACAAACCCTGACAGCACAGACAAGCTCCATTTATCATCTCGAGCTCTCATTTCATAAATCATGCACTCCTCAACCCCTCTGCAAAGCCAGCACAGAAATTCTTACATTTTTGTGTTTGCTTTCAGTATTTCTATTATTTTCTTTTTACGAAGACATCTTTAATAGATAATAAATTCATTCTAAAAAATTCTGTAAACTGAGAAATGTAAACACAGACATTCTCATCTCAAAAATAGGGCAGGTAAGTTTTAGCAGCTGATAACCAACACTTCCAGTAGGTGGGAAAGACATTAGAGGAAATTTACTTCAAATGGATTAGATTAAATCACATAATGAGAAATACTTAAATAAATGACCTTCAACGTGACCAACTTGTAAGCTTCCATTCTTTAATTCATTTTCCAATATGCACAAAACTTCCATTAAGCAAAAGCAATTACTTCACAACCACTGATTTGCGACACAACTGTTATAATGACATCAGAGCACAGCAAAACGGATGTTGTATAAGGCTCCAGAGACAATTCTCTCTCTCAGTTCAATGCAATTTTAAGAAACATTTTCCAAAAATAACTTTAAAAAAGACCAAGCCATGCTCCTCAGTTTCTTCATGGTTTTCTTGGCTGTCAGCCACAGTGTTTGATGTTTGATGATCGTCTCTAATCTTTACTATTAAGTGTCAGTGCAAATGTAAACGGTTTCCAGTAACCAAAGCACCACTTAAAATAGACAATACAGTATGTGCAGAACTTCGATGTGCAGAACTCGCCTCGGCATTCGTCTTGACAGAAGCACAAACCACTGTTTCTGCATCATGGGTTTTGCTACTCTGTCATCAAACAAAAAAAAAACAGAGATTACCGCCTTAATAACCACGCAGTGTGGGCCTGATGGCGGAATGATAAGCTCTGTGGTAACGGTCCGGGGTGAAGCCTAAAGAAATACCACACCTGACAGGTACGAGCTCAGTTTCCAATAAGCCTTCAGTTTGAAAAGAAGTCTGTGGTTGGAGGCAGGTCAAAGGCAATTTGACTAATGTAGGGCAGCTTTGAAGGCAGGTACCATCATTAGAACAAACAGGCTCATCTCCCCTTTCTCTCAGATAACCAGGAACAGATTAATGCATAGATCTTTCTGCTGTTTCTGAACACACACATATATTTGCAGGAACACGTACAGTACATACAGTCTATACATATTTAAGTGGAATGCAAAGAATGAGAGAACAGCACTACAGACTCTACAACTAACATCAAACAGGGTAAAGATGGTAAAGTTGACCAGGCAGCAGAAGACTTACTTAGTTTCTTATCAATGTAACTGACAAACAGCTCCATGTTATGCTGCAGTTTTATCTGCGGTGAAAATCATTTTAAAAAAAGTCTGGAACTTCTGTATTCTTGAATTAAGGCTTTACAGGCGACCCTAGAATATGTCCTACGTACATAAAAAACTCATTAGCCAGAAAACACATTTTTTTAAAAGGTTGTTCCCCTTTTTATAAAAATCTTAAGAGTCATCAATTTTGGCCTTCAAGAATTCCCACGTATTGTATTAAACCAGAGAGGCTATTATTATTTCATTGTTAAAAAACAACTTTGTTTTTTCCTAACTCTTACATTGTTGATGCCGAAAAGTAAAAATTTTTCATGTGTCCTAGGTCATGAGATCTCGAGTGTTGACTCACTCTGGCCAGCTCAAACCCGAGCTCAGCAAAGTGTGTAAAGAGAGGACATTCTTCTTAAACCACCCAGTGTCTGTGATTAACATATTATGTTCAAGGAAACTCCGGAATGTCACAAATAAAATATTTCTGTGTACCACAGCACACAGGCATGGCATAGAAAGGTGGAAAGGTGACACTGGACTCACTTTTAAGTCAGATGATGGTGATAAGAAACAGGAACAGAACAGTCCCAATGTAACACTTTAATATGGACATATTTTAATTCAGCCATTTGTGCAGCCTAGTGACTGTAGTTGTTTTTAAAGATGTGCAGTGAAAGGGAAAAGGCCAAGGTCAATGCATCTTTCAAAGGCTGACAGTCCTTAATTTCAAACTATTCACCTGTACGTCAGAAGGAAGCTTATGTTAGTAGGACTTGGGCATGTCTGGAGCGAAGTTAAAACTTTAGATCAAAACCTTAAGTGACAGCATTCAAAACAGACCAAAAAAAAAACAAAAAAACAGGGATCTCTTCATTTTTGGTTCATGGAAGTTCTTACAAAGATATAACATTTCATTTGATGACCACAAGGGGGCAGTACTTGAACATACAGGACTGGGTTATTTTCTGTCTCCTGAGATGAGCATGGATTCCATTGGACGAAAACAGCTCAAACCGAGAGACTCCCAGCTGAACTCTCAGTATCTTTAACCATCTTCCAATCCCTTATATGAACTGCTTCCCAGCTCTTGGGAGATATGGAAGACATCACAAGTGAACTTGTACCATCCAACAGGTTTTAGATGACAAGAACAGTTTAATAAAACAGTACAACTTGGAAATCATGAATTATGATAATAGAAATTGAAAGCTGTGAACACCTAGGAAAACACATAACATCTCTATTCAGGCTGTTTTGGTGACTCACAGTGGCCCAACATGGGACAGTGTGTCTCCTAATATTCTGGCCAGTGGTGTCAAAGGGCAACGCACAGCTAATTTATTCTACACCATGGGAATGATCAGCAAATTGGTCAAATGCAAATTCAAAAAGGGATAAAGTTTTGACACAAGTCTTCACACATACAAAAGGACACTGCCAGCACAGCAGAGTCCACAATAGGTTACTATACAAAGTTAGTATATATGCTGTCAGTCGTTAGTATAAGTCGGTATACGATAAGTTAGTAATACAGTGCTGAATTTACGATACTCTGCTGGTCAGAGTTGCTGAAGTTTGATACTCGGAACCTCGCAAGCGGGGAATTACAGTTGCACTGCTCTTTATGATTCACCGCACATTCACATGACTTCTCTATGTTTGAATCCATTGTGCCCGGAATTAAAACGGACTTGCTATGACTTACCACTGAACTTTATGAGGGCAACTGGAGTTTCATTCCAATGATGACCACATGCACTCATGTCGTCTTCCATTCATTCATCACATTCAACTTCAGACAAGAGGAGGCATGGCTTAAGGAGTGTTATCAAATATTCAGCATGAATATTTCCCACCTGGTATGTGTCAGCACGTTCATCATACACAGCTGACATCATGATGTCGCAGACAGGGGAGAGGGCTGTTGCCAGCTCAGGTGACACTGTTCCACATCAGTATACAGTGTGTCTTATCTCCTTCAAATTGCACGCAAAAGTTGTCAGATGTTCCACTCACCAAATTATCATCCTGACACCATCTCCGCCGATCTCATCACACATGGTGAAATTCTATAAGGCGACATTCGCAGCAATTACCCACGCAGTATGTAACGCAATTAATGTATGGGTGATTTTACATTCTTTTTAAAAAGATCTATTGATACGGCTGATGCAATACTACCATTATCTATAGTTCCTTGTTGAATTTAATGAGATCAGCATTTAGTTGACAAGAGCTATCAAAAAGTGCAGTTATGACAGAAAAAGAGCACTGACTAAACTTTAATGTATACAGGTTTTATACAACATAAGTAAACATGTTAATGCATACAAACCAAAGAGCACTGAACAAATGTCAACGAACAGTGTATCTATAGCCAACCTTATTAAGCATGTTGTATCAACCAGAAATGTGATTAACATTGAGCCTACCACAACTTAGAGGAAGTCTACATTTTTATTTTGGTCAAACAGAGCTAGTTCAAATATTCAGAGATAGTCTCAGGTCAAAACCACTCTGGCAGCAATTTTACTGCTTATGTGTACAAGAAACAGAAACTCTTCATTCATAGGGTTCGGTGTCAAATTCCACAACTTCTACCTTAATTATTTCCATTAAAGAGAGATCATGAGCTTTTGCCTTTGTGGTTGAAAACCACATGCTTGTCCTTTTTCTAAATAACAGAATAAACGCTGCATTTTAATTCAGTTAAGAAATGGAAAAAAAAATCAGTCTGGTTTTAGTTTCATATTACCTGCTTGCTTGTCAAAATTCTCTGAAACCTGCTATAAAAATAAAACTGCTGTGAAAGGGGCAAGAAATTTGATTTATATTCTGAGGGTGTTCAAGACAAAGCCATACATGGCAGGATACAACGGAATAAAAGACATGCAGGGTATCCTGACTGCAATATCAAAGAAGAGCCTATCTCAGAACTGTTTTATTTGCACACACAGGCAATCATTTTGTCTGAATGCCCACATAACAAAGACCTAGCTAACTGCCGAACAGATCAACCTTTTGATCAACATTTCAGACATATCCAATAAGAGATTCAACATCTCACATGGAACAGACAAGGAAAGCAACTGTGTTTCAGGGTATGCCCAAGTATTTAAAAAGCAAGTCCCATGTTGAGAGCATGGCATTTTTACCTGATCTATCACTCCACCACACTCCCACCAGTACAGCTAGCTGACTATATATCAATATCCAGGTATATTCTGAAACACGGCCACTTCTTTTGCCAGATTCACTTTATGTGTTTAAGAAGCAAACTGCACACTTGCACCAATTTCTGTAATTTCTGTCAACTACTCCCCGGGATAAACTGGTGTATAATAAAATGTAAAACATGGAACCTATATTAAAATTAAAATGAATAAATCTGTAAAGCTAAACCCATGTCAGTACACAACAGAAAATCAGCCCGTGATGCTTTAAATCTTTAACTTTTAAAGTGGTCCACTCACTTAGGATGGTATAGGATGCATTGCTTTCTACCAACATGTGATGTAGAGGTAGATGTTAAATGATTAGAAAGATCTTTCCATTGAATACAGTGGAGCAATCATGAGCGGATCTAAATGACATATACTTTGGCAATGCATGACCCCACAGCAGAACTGCTTCCCCACGATCGGCTTCTTCAACACTTAAACGAGAATTTACAGGCTAAACGCAAGAATGAAGGCTCTGAGACTCTGGCGGTACGAAATTACTCAAGTGGGCAGGGGCAGAAGTGCAGCAAGCCAAAGTAGCCCATTCGACTGGAGCCACCTACAGGATTTCACCCCACCACCACCCTAGTTCGGAATGACTAATTCAGTTTCACAGGAGCAGTTCATGCCCTGTGATTGACTGGTGTCCCATCCAGGGTGTATCCTGCCTTTCTAGGATAGGTTCTGTCTCCCCTGTGAACCTGCGCTGGATAAAGCGGTAAGGACATGGATGGACGAACCAGTTTAGGAGCCCCTCCCAGTGATGCGGTGCTGGAGATTCAAAGTGACCTACAAGCCCCGCTGAAGTTCGATCCCTCTGTCACCAGCACGCCACATCACGGGTAACACGTTACGGACCTGCGCGTTGATCCGGGAGGTGTGGAGCCTTGGAAGACGGAGCCACCAGCCTTGCAGCCCGAGCTCCTCCGGTTGTGGTTGTGGGTCGCCCCCCCGGCACGGGCGAGGTGTCCCACATGGTGTCCCAGGTGCCGCGCTCCGTCCCTGGCGTCGCAAGCTGACACCGGCCTCTCACCGTGCGGGGGCCCACAGGCTAATCAAAAGCCACTGGCATCGGTCTCGCCGACACCATATCACCCAGCAACACACAACACACAACTTCTTGTCATGAAAAACGTATTCACCACTGCTCATCGTTAAAACTAGCACTTGACATACTGGGCAAAGGCAAGGCTCCTGCTGCTGTGGCAGTCACTGTTGTCACACAGTTCTTGACACATCTATACAACCTGTGCATCTCACCTCCACCCCTCACCACAGGGAAACCAACCTAGCAACAAAAAGTAAATGACTTTATTCCAACATTTAACACAACTTGTCACAAACTCAGGCAAGAAGTGCCCCTTGGCAGCAAAGAAAACTATACATGCTCTCACTAGATATTCATAAATGAGCAAAAATGAAATCAATCACAGTTTTTGATGACATGTCTATTTCCTCATAAAGTAAAAAAAAAATAACTTTATTGAGTCATCATTACAAATAAAAGAATATGTAATCCTTTCTGTGCATTATATTAAAGAAGATAAAATTAAGGACTACGTGTATACACTTTACATAAAATATAAAGGACAATTAAGTTTGTTGGAAAAGGTTATGATACAAATTGTTTAATGACTGAAAATTATCATCTACTTGAAAAAGCTATTTTATTTGTGTGCTCTTCACAAAACAATGATACATATAATTATATGTTAGGGTTTTAATAAGAACATACACCTTAGTAGAGATAACTCAGGGTGGAGTCTCTCTTTCCTATTTTGTAATAATATGCATTTCAACGCTGCTTTCCTCTGTAGCCCTGATTTGCATTAAGAAACCGCTGTATCACACTAGTAAGCACACGCAGCTGATGAGTTGGCCATCCCCTCAATTTGGGGAGGTGATGCCAGTAACATTACTAACCCCTTTTTTTTTTCAATTTTACCCAACAGGAAGCTTGGAAAGGAAATTTTCAAGCTGTTTGGAGTATAAAAAGTCCTCCAGTTAGACTGATCTTACAGACCTCTCCTGGCAGCTCTAATACTGCAATATTTGAAGACAACATCTAAGCAAGAAAACAAGAGATGGCTTTCTCGTGGCTCAGCACTCTGCTTTTTCTCTTATCGGCACTACTCGTTGAAAATACTCAGATCAAGAAGAATGTGTGCTGGGACAACTGCTGCCTCTTCATTGAGAATTTCCCTGTGAGGCTCAAGGAGCTCAGGACTGCATTTTCCCAGATAAGAGATTATTATGTGAGTATGGCACTGATTAAGGCAGCAATCAACTGGGCACGCTCATGCTGAGACAGTGGTGCAAACCGCCTCTTCACAAGAGCTGACTCACAACTGCTCTTCCTTGCCTTTTATTCACTTTCTGGCATTAAAGCGCTGTTTCACTCCCCCTTCCCAGGAAACTGGAACGCTTTCATGGCTAAACTCTGCATGGCTGACATTATCACTCCTTTTCCTCCACAGGAAGCCAGTGATGAGCTGATTGACACGGCGCTGCTGGATGAGGCTTTGCTGGAAGAGCTGCATGTAAATATCTTGGTTTTTTTTTTTCAGAACCTGTATTTTGTTCAGTTGTGCTTCTGAATTCTGATACGGAGCTTCGCCCTAACGAAGTTCATATTTTTTTAAGAGAGGAGGTAAACTCAAGGGGGCTCCACTGTGCTCGATGCTTCGAGTCCATGTACAGTTTCAAATCCTTCGCTGCGAACCACTGAAATATTTACAACTTTCTATCCCGCAGTTCTTCGTACAAGTAAAGAGTTTACAACGAAATAGCTAAATGCTTTCACTGTCGGGAACGTATTTAGAGTAAATTAAAAAATAATATATTTTTGCATTTTTGTTTTATCTAAGTCTAATTCACGTTTCACCGTTTCCCCTCCACCAGAGCCCTTTCGGCTGCCATGCTATGAAAGAGGTGCTGCGTTTTTACCTGGATTTGGTCCTGCCTGCGGCTGTGAAAGACAAGGGCAACGATTTTAAGCACCCCCTCGACAGCATTGGGAATATATTCATCGATCTGAAGGCGAACCTCAACCGCTGCGTAAGTCTCTTCTGCCCGATGCCTTTCTTTCCTCCAAGTGCGTCAAGAAAGGTGCAGTTAAAACACCCTAGAAATGCTTCATTGATTTTTTTTCTTAATTTAAATAAAGTGGTTCGCACAACGTGAGATTACGGTAGGTTTCAACTAAAGAGAGGGCTGCTTCTTAATCTGATCCATTTTTAGACCCCAAAATGTATTCACATACCTTGGTCGCTGTGGTGCCCGGTTCACGGTTAAGTCAGCTCAGAACGCTGTGAAACTGCCATCAAAATTAGTAACATTGCAGCCTGTTCACCCGCCGTGTTGTTTTTTTCTGCAAAGCACGTTTGTGAGGTTCTTACTCAAAAGTCGCTCGGGTTTAGCATCAACACAAGCGCGATAGTGATTCATTTCATTCAGTGAATCAGCAGGCAGGCAGTGTGGCGCAGAACCGCGAAGCCGAGGCACGACGAGCAGATGCGTGTTAACGTTATCCCCAGCGTGCAACTCCAAAGCCCCCTGAAAGCCGCACAGCTTCAAGTCTCAATTTCAATTCGACGAGTCCCTTTGCCTCTCATTGTAATCCAGTAGTTGCTGAATCGGAAACAAATGCTTGCATAATCTAACGTAAAGAAATGCACGATTATGCTAAAGCGGTATTGAGAGGTGACATAACTATTCACAAGGGTTAGGAAATCTATTCGATAAGGCAATTCAGGGACCTGTTAGTGTTTTAACGAAGTCTTACTACTTTGTTGGGGGGGAAACGTTTTGTTTGCCATTCCATTGTGCGAAATGGACGGGCTATGTTAAATTCGGGTGGGTGCGTGACCGTCGCCTAACCACGAGCCTTGTAAACAAAACGATGAGAGCGAAACGTGCCGAGCAGCCGCCTGACTTCCTCCGGGATTCTCCGCGACGTGACACATTTGTCTGGGCTTCATGATGTGGCGGTACTAGGACTTGGGCAATATTTAGGTTAAGTTGCAGTTGTATAACGGAGACACACCGCAGTGCTGTGAGTCACTCACAGCACAGGAGCTCTCCTTGCCAGTGACCCAGTGATATTTCCCCATTCGTATGGCCTTGTACGTAAAGCAGGCCGGGCCACAACAACCCTGTTACGTCAGCCAGGACACAAATGCCTTGTTTCTTAAACCAAAGGGATAACTTTCGACTTTATTTTTAGACGCAAACAATTACAGACTGCTAGAAGTTTTGTTGTTACGTATTTTTGTAAAGTTACAAGACCAGCTCTTTCTACTTTAATATCGCCTTGCTGTCCAAGCAATTACCCACCTCGTGAAGCGGGAGTCGCGTTTGTAGGGGTTTTTTTTTTTGCGTCATGTGCGAAATTTTAAACGCGAATACGACTGATTTTGTGTGTAATCCCCTGAAGTCATAAAAAAGGAAAAAGGGACGCTAGTTTAACACATTTCTTGTGTGCAAAAAGATTTACTGATTTACAGAATTAAAATATGAATGAATGTTCTCATCAGTCCGCAAAAGATTGGTTTAAGATAAAAGCTTTTATTTACCAAAAAATAAGTTATTGGAAATGTAACAAGTGGTGCACCATCTAACAAATTAGGATCTTCTTGCTTTGTTGCCCATTGAGTGTGTCCTGTTTAGTTCGCCATGCCTTATAAAAGTTTACTTTGGTTTGTTCTGACCAAGGCAGGGTAAAGTGTAGTGTGGCACAGTTAAATCTGGCTAAATGTGATGCAGACAGATGAGGAACTTGTAGCAAAGTAAACGATTCAAATTAACATTAGAAGCATCTGCCAATTCATTCTGCAGACTCTCAAACACATTTTCTGTTTAGGTTTCTAATAAAATAGTTGCCTCTTAAGAGAGTTCAAAAACAAAAAATAATTAAAACAAACATAATAATGAAAACATAAACAGAACAAAAAAATAATTTGAAAACAAAAAGTCATGTTAATGTTCTGTCTCTTTTGCCCTTCAGCGAAGGTACTTCTCTTGCAAGAAAACCTTTGAGATTGAGAACATCACGAATGAGTATAGAAAAGTAAGTATATCTCTCAGATTGACATGTTGTGATCTTGGACTGAGGTTCTAGGGATTGTCGTCTCGCCCATTCACCCACTGAAATTCCATCAGAGAGCCTCTGTCTTAGATGGCCGTTCGCTGAGCGCCTGTTCTGCTTCTCTTTTCACAGATGGAGGGCAAAGGACTTTATAAAGCCATGGGGGAGCTGGACCTGTTGTTTAACTACATCGAAGAGTACCTGGTGCGCAAAAGGTCTCACTAGAGGCAGACTGGGCAGGATTTCCCCGTTATCAGACTGTAGCAGCTTTTAAAAAACAACCCTTTTAACACTTCTGTTTACAGCAGGGATGGGTAACCCTGTTCCAAGAGGGACTCGGTCTCTTCTGATTTCACACTGCCTCTAGCCTTAATTAACTGGTTTAGATAAGTCCAGTCTTCTCTAGGTCTGAACCGGTTGTTAATTTTAATGTACGTCTAAACCAGCAGTAATCCACAGTCCCCAGGAACTGAAGTTACCCAACCTGTGTTCACAGGCTTCCAAGTGAGTGTTCATTTAAAAAAAGAGTAAGAGAAAGATTTGTCCATGGCACATTAGTGTCAATGGCTTGTGCCACAGTAACACTACTTGAAGCCTGATTTTTTTCCTTGTATTTGAAATACTATTTAAACATTTAACTGCCAAAAACTGTAGTACAGTGCCAATTTTTAAGATATTTTACATAGTTCTAATAGAACTTAATTGTATTGCACTGGGCTGGTTCTGTGGAAAGTGTGACTGTGCTTTGCTGACTTGATCATTTGAAAACAAAGCAGTTTACTGCACCTTTAATACAAATATTCATGTTAATGTACACAGAGCAACATCGTTAACTGGTATTTCCTTGTGTTTTATCTGTGAAAAAAAGCTTTTAAAATAAAAACAAAACCTACTATGAATAACCTTGCACTTATAATGCAGGCAGTGTGCATATGAGTACAGTACACTTTGCTTTTTCTGGAGAAACATATAGATTCTTATGAATCTGAATTTCTAAACTCTTTATGAAAAGCAAAATCTATTTGAACTGAGGAAGAACTACAAAAAACAATTATAAAAAAGTCATATTGACACAATGACATTGTTTACTCAGTCACACTGGTGTATGGCACTAGAAAATATTATATCCTAGGATATTTTATCTGCTGTTTGTATCCAAAGTAGAATTTACAGTCTTCTACCATTAATTTATATAAATATTTGTTTATAAGAACAGTGCTTGAATATGAACAATTGTATTTATTTATGTTATTTGATAGTATTATTTCCTAAGTTGAAGTGCAAATTTAGAATATGATGTCTAAAGATTGTCAAAGTTTGTTTGGATTTTCCAAAAGAGTTCATTGGATCCATTGTGAAAAGTATTGTTTGAATTAAGAATTTTGACTGCAAAAGATGTTTTCACCAATAAACCATTTGTATCTCGCACACAATTGGTCACAAGTGCATTTTTACAAATTGGAAAATTTAATAGAAAAGGCACAATGTATATCACTAGGCTGAACTGATGTTAAATTGTTGTGTCATTCATATAAACATGACCAGGTATTTGTAATCCATGCAAATATAACCAGAAATTGTATATGGTTGTGAGGTTGTGTGATTGTACTATGTACTGTATTTATGCGTGTGTGGTATTTTTATTTTCATTCTCTTAATAACAATAAATGTTGTTCATTCAAACTTCCTTCTCTTAACTGTGGTTTCTTTTTGACCTGGGTTTTAAAATCAGTGCCTCTTATGTGTGTGTGTTGTTTTTGTGAAACATCAGCTTCTATGTAGTGTCTAAAACAAAAAGGGCCATATTTGTACAACCATTAATTTGCTTTAAATTTCCTAAAACATTAAAAGAAGTAGCTCTTAAATTAGTATCCTGAAACATTAGGATTGTTTCCCAACTGTTTGTAATTTAGTTTTTAAGCCTAAATGTATTATGAATATAGCCGAAAAGTTATCAAATGAAGAGTTTTTAAATGAAATAATGATGGTTGTATTGTTTTCACATCTACTCCTTAAAGACAACCCTTAGGCTCTGTCTTCACACAGTTGGACACAAGTGCATTTCTAACAAATTATAAGCTTCACTACACAAGCCATCAAGAGGCTGAACTGATGTTAAATTGTTCTCATGCAGAGTATTTGACCTTTTCTGAAATAGGGAAGGTCATGCTAATTAACAAAGGTAAGGTAGGACTTTAAACCAAACTGAAAAGTATTTCAGGGCATGTGTAGCTCATCTTAATGTACCAGAAAATGGTATAACCATCCCCATCTGCAGCTAGAATCAAGCAGTAGAGTCCTTATTAATATACCTAACTTGTGCATGTAGTATATTTCACTAACCACAAAAGTGACCTAAATAGAATTCTTACCAGCAATGTGCTGTCTCAAGTTACAGTAAAGTTAGCCTCACCCATAGGAGTGTAACCCTTGCACCACATGGAAATGACTGGCATTCAATTTTTAACACGGCCATTGACATGAAAGCAGATTGTTTTCCTTCTTCTCTGAAGATTGGCAGTGTGGTGTCTTTCTCTTGTGTCTCATCAGACAAGTGGGGGGCAGGAAGGAGCCCAGCATTGAAAATCTGCAAGTAGAATCATTTAGAAACGCTAAAAAAACAGTATTAGTTCTAGAATTCACTTTATACATCAAAATATGGGGCTAATGAGCTGCCAGCCTTTTCTTTCTACATGTGTGTAAAAGTAAAGAGACAGAGCAATATAGTGTGAAAACGAGATATAAGCAATTCAAGCTTGGGGTTGAAAGGTACAGTATAGGAACCAAATCCAAGCCTGTGTGTTCTGCTGCAGTGAAAGCTTTCCCTTGATCAGTTTCGCATTTGTGAATGGTACAGTATAACTATTTTCTTCCCAAAGGATCCTGAAGTGCTTTTACACACAGCAGGGAGTCCACATCATCTACCACTGAAGTTCCACCTACTGTAGGTGATGCACAGCAAGCATTGTGTGCAAGCAGCTACTGTACCTGCACTGCAGATCGGGTGAGAAAGAGAGAAAGACATCCACCAGATAAAATAAGGAGGAACTTTAGGGAGGCCAGGTTGTACAAGCCCAGGGAGGAATTTCACCAGGACACTGGTGTTAATAACCTTACTCTTAGGAACCATGCCAAATAGTCAGCACCTCAGTTTAACATCTCATCTGAATGTTAGCACTTCCTACACGGTCACTATAGCCAGGCATTGGCTTGGAAGTGTCGTGCCTTTGTGTATGTATCCCTGAGAGAGCAAAACAAGCCAGCTCTTCTCACTGATGTCTGTTTGACTAACTAAAACACATTTAGAATTGCCCAGACTGTCTAACCCACAAGACAACGTGTTGGATAAGAATTCAGACATAAATAATTTCAATTGTCTCTTTGCAAAGATCAGAACAAAGCGTTAAACCCCCATGCACATGGTGTCACGATATTAGTTCCCCCTCCTTAAGGGTACTCCAGCCCTTTCACTCTAGACTTTATTCTCTGCACCTGTTTCCCATTCCCAGCCCACCTTAAAAGCCAGGCGCTGACGCTCTTCCGGGCTCTGCATCTGATTTCCATATCGTGCGAGTCCGGGACCAGGAAGCGCCTGGTCCCGTTAAGGTTTTAACCTCTGTTCCCGTTCCCCGTCCGCCGGTTCCGACCCGGCCTTCGTGGTTTTTAATCCCTTCTTCTGATGGATCTTCTGGTTTTGGATTTACCCTTGTGTTTTGGATATTCCCTAAGGACTACTCTCGGATTGTTCGCCTCGGCCACACCTCCCCCGTGCACCAGCGCACCTTGGACACGCCCCCCCTCTCTTCAGCCCCGTTTTCCTGCATGACGTTTCCCCAGTGTTTCCCCACTCCGTCGGACTGTGTCGTCCGCATAGGGTCCGGAAAGAACTGTTCGTTACACATGGGTTAGTAGCCTTGGCTCTTTCAGCCTTTCTTGCATTAGGAATTTGTCTTTTTGCATACCCCAGTGTGCTCTCCATGAGACACACAGGCACACAGATGGGGAGAGAGAAGCTTGGGGTCAGAGCGCAGGGTCAGCCATTTATACAGCACCCTTGGAGCAGCTGGGGTTAACGGCCGCAGGATTTGAATCGGCAACCTTCCAGCCACAGGCGCAGATCCTTAGCCACAGTGCCACCGCTCTGCCCTATGGATCCGGGTGTTGAGACCTTTCTTTCTATAATTAAAGGATGAGCTGGAACAAAGACCGCAGAGCCGGTGTTCTAACGACTTCTCCTGTCATAACAGACTAATAGGACTGCATTTAAACAGAAATAAACTATCATTTTAAAATAAAAAAAATCTGTTTAACTGGTGGACCTGAAAGCTACACTCACTCAATGGCAAAAAAACCATCACAGTTACTAAACCCACTTTATGGGCTTGTAATAACTTAGAATCTTCTAACTACTGTGAGAGTGCAAAGGAGGAAAATCTGTGCTGGTGAAAGGGAGATGGGCCTGAGTTCCTGCATGTCTGCAGGAGTGTGGACTGTTATCACCAGATTCCCCTTGTCTTGTTCCATTACACCTTGAGCAGAGCACACACCCTGGGGCTTACAAAGAGTAACTCACACTGCAAGTAACTCATTCCAAATCGTCCAAAAGCAGACCTAAACTAAGAAAACCTATTACAGCAGAGTTGTTCTGTATCACATGACTTACCAGACTATTCGTCAAGCACAGGATGTGGACAATGCAATTAACCAGGTTTCTGCTCTAACGAGAATTTTGACTGCTTGTGCTTCACAGTAAGGACTTCCTTCCTTATGTTAAGCTATGTGGCCAGGGTATCCCGGAGCTAGTCCAAGTGCAGATCAGAGATTCAGATCTCCTGCAGCAGCAGAGGCTAAAGATCATACCAGCTGATTCACTAACCCGTCCGCCATTCTCAACTCAAAGGATGACTTTCTTAGTCTCAGTTCAAAACAATTCCAAATTCCAAAACACATTAATACATTTTTAAAATATCTAGATCAATCAAGGCCATCGTTGCTGTTGCATGGTACGTCCTACACTGTGGTTAAAGTAATGTTATATTGAATACACAGTAGCGTTTTGGAAGTCAGAGGACACATACCTCTGGGAGACTCAGCTGTCTTTCCCAGCTCCTCAGAAATGCTGGCTTAATCCCAGCCCTCATTCCAAGAGACCCATTGGAGCTGGCTCTGATGCCAGGCAGCAGGTAATGTAGGGCCAGCCCTCTCCCTCAGCTGTCCAGCTGTGTAGACAGACACCAGCCCTGTGATCTCCATGGGCCAGTCTCCCTGCTGTGAGAGTGAACTGGAAGAGAAGTGACTGTTATAGGCTGCTGTTGTTTTCCTGGGTTGGACGGTTTTAAAAGTCACTGTTATACAGCAAGACCTCGCTTAACACAGGGGATGTATTCCAGAGAAACGTGCTGTGTGGAATCGATGCTATCTGAGGCAATTACAGCATTGGTTCAATGGTGAGGTTCCCAGGAGTGTCCTTTCTAGTATTTGAGCAAAGTAGGCTTCACTGGGTTACTGTAAGCTGCAGTGCTGATATTTAATTAGCAATCCAGTTTAGACAGAAAGACATTTATTTCTGAATAGTTACAGAAGAAATACATAAAATATGGCTTTGCACCTATACATTCAGTCAGAGTTTATGTAACACAAGATTAACACAAGCTCTGGCAAGGTCTGCCTTCACTTCAACTTCACTACAGTGGGAGACTGATGGGGGGGAACTATATTTGCCAGAATGTGCCAGGTTTTGGCTCACAGGAATATTAACAGGCAAGATCACAATAGACGTCTGGATGTAGAGAAGCAGGAGATGGATTAGAGGAGGCTCAGGCTGCACTGTAAACATACACATCCTGCCACACTCACTGGTTGACAGCCTGGGCACTGTTTTTCATTACTGCTTGCCTTTAGCACAGACAGCAAGATGCACTTCTATAGCTCCCAGTGCAAATGCTCAGGATCAGGCTTTGTGGTTTTATACAAGTATATTCAGAGTGATTAAGATAACGGTCAAGACAAAGAGCACGATGTCGAATCAGCACTAATGGAGCAATGGGTGCAGCTGTACAAACCACTACCATAGACTGGGAATCACTGAGAGAACAGGGTTTCTTCCAATGACACAGAAACACGCTGCAGCTCACCAGTTGAAGAGCTTCAGCAGCTGAGCCACAACAAACCTGGTCTTTATTGCTCAATAAGAGTCGGACCTCTGGCCATAAAAACTCTGGGGGTTGGGGAGGCTGCATGTTCTGCACCAGGAGAAATGCTGAAGCTTAGGGATGGGGAAAACAGGTTCATCGAGCCGAGGGGCTCAAACCCCTAGTTCTGACGAGTGGTGGGATCTTCAGAATGGAGCACTGTACTGTGTAGTCTAATCCAAGGTCTGGATACACCATATGACAGAAAAAGAGCCCGAGGGGACCTCCAGGGCATCATTCCATCAGCATTCTTACAGTAATTGCCCATTTCTTCCGCATGAGGTCCAACAGCTGAATTTGAGTCCTTATTCAGCTGCAGATTGAATAAACTGCAGGGCTCTGGGCCTGAGGACTTAAGATATCCCAACCCTAACTGAGACCAGTGTAATAACCGAGAGATCAAGTGTGACAATAAACTGAGGCCAGCACGGCTTTGTCTTCGACTGTCCTCTGACCACACGTAGCCAAGCAAGCCAGCTGCTTGTAAAGGGGCTGTGCTTCACCTGGTCCTGGTGTGTTTGCAGGCAAGAAGCTAACCTATGAATATGCGTGGGTTGTTTTTTTTAAGCGCTTGTTTCAAGGAAATGGCCACACAGGACTGAAA